ACAGGCTAACAGCCATTCCTAACTATGCCTTGGGCTCCAGATCTAGATCCAACCTAAATGTGTACCAAACCACAGTCTGCCCACAACTTCGTGCCTAATATGACTTTATCTTGATTTTAGCTCATTGACCAATGTTCATTCTAAACTATACTTACCATGCCAGCCCAAATCTAACTGGTTACCTTTATTAGACAGGTTTGTTCTAACTGTTACTAGAGTCTTACTCCACAACTTGGCCCAAATATTATACCCAATTTTGTGTTTAAACCTGGACCACATGATAACCTTTAACTCCTGGTGGTGATTTTTCTCCTAAATTAACTCCTTGTCTGACCAGAGCTCATTTTAACAGAACTGAACTACCTGAAATCCTATGTTTGGCAGAGAATCTGGTCATTGGGGTGGAGCTGAGGGGCCAGGGTTGCCACAGCAGCTCATCCTGCTTAAGCAATGGTCATCCTGCTTTGCCTAAGGGAACCCAGTGTCCAAGAGGAGGAACAGTACATATATGCTGGGATTGCACCCAGGGGTCTGTGCCAAGGCAGGAAGCCAGGTCAGGCTCAGTGGATTAAGTAACACAGAGCAACAAGCCTCACCAAACAAGGAAGAAAAGTAGGATTTGCATGAGGAAGAAATGACACTCTTCACTTCAAGACAGAAAAGGGCAGGCACTTTTCAAAATGACTGTAAATATCATGTTATTTTTGGCAAAACAGCCTTAATCAAAAATGACCATTTGTTTAAGGATTATAAACATTTATGAGAAAAATAGTTAAGCTTTGCTTTGTTGTTTTTTTTTTTCCAAAGTGAGTGTCATTCATTTTAGAAGATGGATGACAAATGAGTATAAAGAAGCCTTTTAATTGATGATACGTAAAGCCTGCCTAGTTCTTGATGGCCCTAGAGGACTTTCAGCTGCTTTATTTTAGTAGCTTTAAACTACAGGAATTGTAGTGAAAACTGAAAGGAGCTACAACACAATGCAGTTCAGAAATATCTCTCCCTATTTCCCCGCAGTACTTGTTAACAGTTACATGGCAGAGATGTCCTGCCTATGTTTTTCAAAACCATCTTCCCATTTTTGGAAGTGCCAGATGAACTGAGGACTGCAATTTGACTATAGGGAAATGGGCTTGTCTGTACCCTAGCCCTGCATTTGTATCGGACTGTATGCAGAGGGGTCACTGAAATTTATTATTTGTTAACTGAGAACACAAAAGATAGCCAATAATTATTTCCTTCCTCCCTGTTGCTTTCTCTATTCTTAATTGTTCATTATATGGATTTCTTTTTTTATGTGAACTATCTTTTGGGAGGGGTGAAAAGCCTTTTTTTTTAATTGTGTGAGGCCTTTGACCTTTAAACAGAAACATTTGGGTTCATGGTCAATGTTCATTAAGTTTTATGTTCTACTTCTATGCCTTCTCTGTGAGCGGGCTCAGGATGCACAAGATATCAGGAGGGGACATAGCTGGGACAGCTGACCCCAACTGAACAAAGGGATACCCCACACCTTATGACATTGTGCTTAGCAACAAAATCTGGGGGGGAAGAGGAGGAAGAGGGGATGGTCGTGATGGTGGTGTTTGTCTTCCCAAGTAACCGTTAGGAATGATGGAGCCCTGCTTTCCTGGAGCTGGCTGAACACCTGCCTGCCCACAGGAGGTAGTGAAGCAATTCCTGATTTTGCTCTACTTGCCCACACAGCTTTGCTTTACCTGTCAAATTCTTTATCTCAACTCACAAGTTTTTTTCACATTAACCCTTCTAGTTCTTCCTCCCCCTCTCCGCCCCATCATCTCACTGTAGGGAAAGCCCTGCATTTGTATCGGACTGTATGCAGAGGGGTCACTGAAATTTATTATTTGTTAACTGAGAACACAAAAGATAGCCAATAATTATTTCCTTCCTCCCTGTTGCTTTCTCTATTCTTAATTGTTCATTATATGGATTTCTTTTTTTATGTGAACTATCTTTTGGGAGGGGTGAAAAGCCTTTTTTTTTAATTGTGTGAGGCCTTTGACCTTTAAACAGAAACATTTGGGTTCATGGTCAATGTTCATTAAGTTTTATGTTCTACTTCTATGCCTTCTCTGTGAGCGGGCTCAGGATGCACAAGATATCAGGAGGGGACATAGCTGGGACAGCTGACCCCAACTGAACAAAGGGATACCCCACACCTTATGACATTGTGCTTAGCAACAAAATCTGGGGGGGAAGAGGAGGAAGAGGGGATGGTCGTGATGGTGGTGTTTGTCTTCCCAAGTAACCGTTAGGAATGATGGAGCCCTGCTTTCCTGGAGCTGGCTGAACACCTGCCTGCCCACAGGAGGTAGTGAAGCAATTCCTGATTTTGCTCTACTTGCCCACACAGCTTTGCTTTACCTGTCAAATTCTTTATCTCAACTCACAAGTTTTTTTCACATTAACCCTTCTAGTTCTTCCTCCCCCTCTCCGCCCCATC